TTCCCTTTAGCCTATTGAATTCTGTTCGAAAGAGATGTGAGTGTTGTTTGGGTCACCTAGTTGAATTTGACGCAGTTTTTCATGTGTTATCCTTATTGTTGAACATGGTTAGTGATCTGATTCTGGGGTAAATATCACGTTGTAGGTCCCCCGATGCCCGATTCTCACTGGTTGGTCACCCTCATTGTTGTGCTATTTGTTGGTCTTCCCTTTTAGCGCCTTAGTTATGATCCTGGTTGAATTTGAATCAATATCATTCTGTTAAGTCTTCAAATGTGGCCGATGAATATGGTGCAAGGCACTTCCAGATACTCATCTTGGCTCCTTTTCTTGTTTGAAATGGATATTATTTTGCTGTTAAATTCATAAGTTGTATAAAAAGTTCATGCAACATTCGTCTTGTGAATGCTGAAGAGTTCAGAGCTCTGAACTATATTCTGTGGTGCTCAATTCGAGCCCAACTTGGTTTTAGTGTTGTAAATGTACCTATTCTTAGCGCAAACATGGCCACCACAGCCACATCCGCCTACCATGTGGCGCAGTTAATAGATAAAATGATGTCAGTCGACAAGGTGTGTTTGCCTTCGTCATTTCCTTTTTCGAAGTTATACTTTGTTTTTCGAGACATGATTCCGCTCGTCAAAGGGCAGCTAGGAAAGTAACTACTACCTTCAGAACTCGAAGTTATTTCTAAAGACTAATTGTTCGTTCATCTCCGCGCCCCTGGTTCTTGCTAGCGAATGGGTCCGCAGCTGCAAGCTTTCTCCGCTCAAAAGTGCAGGGCATCGGGACCGTAGGGAATTGGTACCCGAGTGCCGTCTTCATATTCCGTCGCGCTGCAGGAGGGTCAGCCATGCGCCTAACCACCGTCAAACGCGACACTTGTCTGATTCACTCATTCACTCATTTCACTTTTGATTGTTCTCAAGTGCTGAATACGTGGTTCGCTGCAGAACCTTGGTATCGATGCAAGTGCCGCACTGTGAGGACGGCACTACGACACCACTACCCTATAAACCCGTTCCCCTGCATTTTTGACGTACCCTCCTCCCCCCCCCCCCATAGCAGCTCCACTTCGCTACTGCAACTGCGGACCCACTCTCTTACATGGCAAGGACGAGATGGGTTTACTATTTGTCTCCAAGCGAGCTTCGCGGGCCCCTGAAAGGTGTGCTATGAATGACAAATGATTCTTAAATGTGGGGAAGTAGGTGAAAAGCCTACGAAGTTACGACAGCGGAGTTACGATACGGATTTTTTTTGCTGGAAGTGGAGCTGCTATGGGGGTACGCCACGAGATTACGTCGCGCTCGCTGTGGTCATCTAGCGCAAAGGTGAAGGCTATTGAGGGAAAGAGTCATGGCACTGCAGATCGAATGCGCCTGTGTGCTTCCCATCCTCAAAATCAGCGTATATAATCACTTTCGTGTATCCTTCTGAGGAGTACCCCATACGGTTCATTGGGCGAGCTGTACACCCTCGCCCGATAAGCCTGGAAAGAGATCAGATTAAGAACCCTTCCTGTGTAGGGCGGAGTAATTGAAAGCCGCCGATTTACTCATATTGCGATGGTATGCCCTCCAGGTTTCCAAACAGTACAAATTTTAGTTTTAGTAAATTTTAGTGCAATTGATGCTTGGCTAATGTAAATAAGTTGGAACATCAGCTGTATTCGTAGTTTACGACTTGAAAGTAGGATAAGATAGGTAGGTTTACAAAGATGCTATAGGTATAGATGTGGTATTTCGCGAGAATTGGAGAACTGACGTTTTGGGAGAAGAGAAACGGATCAAAACAACCTGCTACCAAGCAAAATCTTGAAGCAGGTCTACTGAGACGGTGGGAGAGGCTAGTAACAGGGAAACTGTGGCGAAACTAGGCGTAGAACAGCAAAAAAAAAGGGCAACTTCTATGCAGCCAGTCTCTGAACAAGTTACTATTCTTTGACGCCTAATCGCGCAGTCTTCTACTCACTCTCTCATCACGGGCAATACCCACACCATCTTGGTGGTGTGTGCTCCTATCCTCCTATTCTCCTGTCTACCGTCGCGAAGTATGAGTGCAACCTTAAATACAGCGGGGAAGAAACCTGAACTCCTGCGGTCATTGGAACGGTAGATTGATTTTACTTCCAGACAAGTACTTGATTTATGGTGCTTATAATTTCATTGCTACCTTACCTCCTTTGGAAATACAATCTTTTTTGTCAATTTAGGACTATCGTTTTATGGCTGTAAATGATTTGATGAGAGAACTACAGACGAACAATATGAGACTCGATGATGACTCTGAAAAGAAGGTACTTGGTTTCGGTCTGACTGGAAACTTCTGTTGAAATCACTGCCAGCTTAGGAAAAGTAAAAGACGCATTTGCACCCCACCTGAGTCTCGTAAATCGCTTTCCCACGATTATCGCAAAAATGATGTGAAATGGAATCCCTTTAAGGTTGTACGAATGCTTATCCGACTTTTGGATGACAACAATGGTGAAGTGCAGAATTTAGCTGTTAAATGTCTTGGTACTGTCACACAACGAGTCAAGGAAGCTCAAGTGAGAAGTGTTTCTCCTTATTGTGTTAATAGTCTAAATTGTGATGATGTAGGCAGAAACACTGGTAGATGCGTTGTGTTCGATGATGGTTGCTGGTTCGGAATCACTGCGCGATGTATGTTTTCAAATTTGCAGCCCAAGTTGATTTCTGAATTGATCTAGCAGTCTTTCACAGGTCAGTTCCATTGCGCTTAAAACTGTGGTTGGACACCTGCCAGTGGCAAATACCGTATTCGTGACGAATCTCATGAAGCGACTAGTACCAAAATTGAATGCTGCACTGGGTAAGCACGGTGATCATAGTGGATCGTTCATATTCGAGGATGATTACAGAGCAGACAAAGCCGAATGACTCAGTTCGCCTGGAGGTAGTCGATGTTATTGCAGACGTGCTCACACGCTTCGGTTCTCTCATCACTTCTGTGCATAAAGAGGTTGGTTCAACTCCTGCTAGCAAAACGTCCTTGTTTGTTCATTTATATCATTTTTTTCTAGAAAATCCGCCCTCCATGATGTATTGAAATCTTTTCCCCAGATATTCTATAAGTTCCACATGGTAGGGGCACGTCAGTGAGAGAGAAGGAATCTTTGGGGTGTCACCTCCCATCTGATAAACGTGGACTCGGTCTTCAGTCATCCATAACGTTTTCAGACGCAGAAAGTTCTTCTTGATCAGCTCCTGCTCGAGCGACCTGCGCTGAAGAAGAAGTCCACTATAGCTTTGGGTGCCATGATGGCTGTATGCTCACATGATCTATTCAAAGACACGATGGATGTTTTTGTGGAAAGGTTTGTTAGACTTTCTGACTTCTTTATAACTTTCATTTTACTTCATCAGTATGGTATAGCAAGGGGGGGGGAATAATGTGACATGCGGTCCATTGCCTTACCTGCTGAAACAATGACGTGTCACTTACGTCACATAGAACGGTAAGGACATGTCCATAGACGTTATTGAGGATGATACAATGCAGATTTCTTTTTGACGGGACGGGAGAGGGGGATAGGGGGCATTTTGTACTATCATTGCTTCCCTAGTTCCGGTTTACAAGTCTCACTCTGGCGAAACCTGTGAACTCTTGTGAAGCTGGAGCAAGCTCATCTAGCCATCATGGTGAAACCTGTCAACTCCTCAACTCCTAGATAGGTCGAACACGTCGATGGGAAGTAGCGAAAGTGCAAAATGCCCTCCCCGACACCCCCCCGTTCACACCCTCGTCAAACTGCACCAACCAGCCCGTATCACACATGCTTCCTCAGTACTTATACGTAGGATGCGAGCTCACTTCATTCCGATTGATCAAATTTTAGGTTGTCTGATGCGAAGGGCACCCATTCAGTCCGTACATACGTGGTTGCCCTGACTTGTGTGGCAAAATCTAGTGGACCACGATTTTCGGAATACATCCCGAGAGTGAGTATTTTTCTGGTGGCAACTTTTGTTTTGTCCATTTTGAGTAGGTAAGGTTTGTGCCCTTTAGAGGGGTGAATTCCAAAGGGGTGAAGATTTCTGAGAAAATGTTATCGAAAAATTTCCAATTCCAATTGCATTAACAAGAAGACGGATTACGAAGTCTTAGGTTGCCCCGAAAATTATCGAACAAGTTGAAGCTGCTGATGACGACGAGCTAAAAGAAGCGTTGCTACAGTCGTTGGAGACCTTCTTATACCGATGCCCAAGGGAAATGGCTGCATATCAGGACCAAGTACTCAAGGTGAGGTTTTATCTTACATGGATTGCTTTAGACTGAAGGAAATTCAATTTAGATTGTCACCACCGACCTCACATACGATCCCAATTACTCATATTCCGATGACGAAGAAGAGCAGTCCATGGAGATTGGTGGTGAGTGTTGAATTGGTGAACCATCCCGTGGTACGACCCCCTTCCCCATCCCACCCTCTATCACTTTCTAGATTTTTCCAAAATCCCTCCACATTTTCCTGCCGTCGAGCGGAAGGGGGGGGGGGGAAGACCACATACGATTCCCTTCTCCCCAGCGGCCAAATAAGACCCCTCGCGGGAGATCCCCAACGTGCGTCGTGCCCTGTTTGATTTCAACAACCGACTCTCCCGTTTTCATGTAAAGATGGCGACACCGACGAAGACGATGGGGAGGACTATTCGGATGATGACGATATGAGCTGGAAAGTGCGTCGTGCGTCAGCGAAAACAATTGAGGCCATGGTTAGCCTGCTTAGTACTGCATGCCAAGCATCTCAATTTACTATTTAATCCACCTTTACCTTAAAGATTGTTTCACGACGAGATCAGCTCTCGAATTCTGTCCAGACACTGGGCCCGTTGTTGATTTCACGTTTACGAGAAAGAGAAGAAAATGTGAGGATTGACATCTACAATGCCTACATTGCAATCCTTTCGCAAGCTCGTCTTGTTGTG